TCAAGTAAAGTTCATTAACCTCAATGCTTCTAGAGAGTTGCCATCACCGACTCTTTAAGGTTCACAGTTATTCAGCTCAATCAAGTTAAAAAAGAATTAAACCAAACAAATTAGTCGAGTAAAAATAAGATTAAAAGAACGAAAGAAAAACCATTTCCTGTATGGATGCAGAGGTATAAGAGATTTTGACAACTAACCAAAAAGAAAAAGGGAAAACTATAGTGATGTGATCCATTTCCTAGTCGGAGGTACACAATTTAAAGTTGTTCAGGAACCTTTGGAGGGTGATCAGAGGAGGTTTGTAACTAATCCAAATCAATTTAAACCGGTTATGATAAAAGGAACGGGGAGAACTGTTCATTCTAATTTAAAGTTGTTCAGGAACCTTATGGAGGGTGATCAGAACATCCCAGAGCCTGAATCTACACCAAAATTTAAAGACAAGACCTTCTATAGCAGATTCTTGATCCTTGTGTTGCACAGACTTCATTTGAACACCTTCACCAGACTTAAGGTTACAAGTACGCTTGCTCAAGAAAAAATAGACATGGTGTCAACACAAAGACAGTAACGCAATGGTATTAATGACATTCTGTTTACCAGAAAGGAGGATAACCAACAAAAGAACTTCTTTTTTTGGCTACATCTTAATAAATTAGTATAGAAGTAAAAATGTGCTAGTAAAGCACTTGCAACACAAATAGGATTGATCCCTATTCCACACTGCAGAAAGCCATAAAAAGCATAAGAAATTTTTTATGTAGCCAATCTAACATTAATGCTATAAGCAGGATGAGATGCTATAGTTGCACAATCTATAGCACTGATCATTTCTCAAGATGCCTCACGAGTATATGGTGTAGCACATAATGTGACCCTGAATTTTGTTTTGAAATCTCTTGTATTATAGTGTTTAAATGCTTATTGTAATCGCATATGCACAAAAGTCAAATAGATCCAAGGTCAATTTTACTTTTTCCATTTGTAGATGTTCAAATCTCTTTGACAGCAGTGCCAACTGTTCTGCACTATTAACTACTCGAGATTTACAAAGCTCTATCTTCAAAAATAAATTATCAAATGCAGTCCTTTGAAAGTGACATAACTCCAGCAACGCCCATCCCCATTTCTCCAAAAAACAAGGATTACAAAAGAAAAAAAACAGAAAAATGCTTCATTTTTCTAATGCTTCAGAAACCAAGGGACAAAAAAAAAAAAAGAAACCAGATATAGAGACTTAAAATAAGGCTCAGTTAATTTCTCGTGACGACTAAACACCTACAAAACATGTAATTTAACATTACCAAAAGCCATCATTATGAACATTATATCTTCTAACTACCATAAAGAGAGAGAAAAAAGGGGGAGAATGAATTTCTATCCAAATAACACCAAGTGAGCAATGCAAGATGTTTTCTTTCATGCTTTTGAGTTGTGAAGCAGGAAAAAAAAAGGTGCCCAATAGATTTTCCCGACTAACCAGACTTTTTTATACTGAAGAAAAAAAGTATTACTATTTTTTCTGATAAAAAAAAACCATCAATATCATAATTACTTCTCTATTAAGACATAGAGGCTTGCAAGATCTCCCAAATACTTAGATATTTAGTTAGACATTTCATTCTAAACTTCATTTAGTTTCTACATTTGACCACAAAATTTTTCAAAGATTTTCCCGACTAACCACGCTTTTTTATATTGAAGAAAAAAAGTATTACTATTTTTTTTTTATAAAAAAAAAACCATCAAATATCATAATTACTTCTCTATTAAGACATAGAGGCTTGCAAGACCTCCCAAATACGTAGATATTTAGTTAGACATTTCATTCTAAACTTTATATTGTTTCTACATTTGACCACAAAATTTCTCAAAAAATTAAAGCACACTGAAAAAAGCTCATCAAGGTCACTATGTGAATTGTACCAAAGCATCAAGCAATTTCTGTAGCATGACCAAGATAATATAAAGCAAAAAGGAAAAAAGCTAAAGCTTTGTCATAAGTAAAACATCATATGATGAATGAGTTATAACTATAAATCAAAGTAGCACACCTGAGAATTTTTGCTATAGCTCCGTCAAGATTGCTTCAAAGGTGAAAACAACCAATAAGAATATCAGAAATTGTCATGATTCGAAAAATATTATACAAACAGAAAAAAAGGAATCAGGGATCAAATCTTTTTAATTAAATTAAGCAGTGATTATGGTAGTTTAAAGTGAGGCTCAGGTTTGTCAGCAATAGTCAGGCAGAGATGAGAGTACCGCCATGGCAGCAGACCCATTACATTTGAAGGGAAGAATGAACCTCAAATGCAATCAGGGTTGCCACGCCAAGATACAGCAATCAATTTAAAGCCTGAAATACATCTAATGAAACCAAAACCATATCATCATAGCCTAATTGAGGACAAAATAAATTAGCCTATTTACAACTTTCATCTGCCATAATACTCCAGCCAGAAAGCTACACCCTTTTCCAAAAAAAAATCACCATCCATCTTTGTAAAAACCTAACAAGAAACAAAAGGAAACATGAAGAAATATTCAAAACCAAGAAAAAATTAAGAGAAAATTGCTCATGAATAGACACATTTATTCAGAAACATGTATAAAGTACTTCCAAAAGCAGTTTACAAGTTCTACAATCATCATTCTAACTAAAACAGAGCTCAAGGAATTAAAAAGATAAGAATACATACATAAAAAAATTAGCAAACTTACTCAGTGAAGGAGAACTTAGCACAACGAAAGCACCAAAACCTTCCTAAAAAGAAAAAACACACGTATTAAAAACAAGCAAATTTAACAATAAGCATAATATCAATCTAAATATTCCACAAGAAAAGAAAAATCATGCCATTCAAAAACTGTAAAAATTGGTCACTGTAACAATTAACATCAATATGGAGAATAGCATAGATAAAACAGAAATAAATGATTTTAGTTATATCAGGTCTAATAAAAAGAAAGAAAAAAAAAGGTGACGATAGAAAGTTCTGGAAAAATAAGAAAATTTTGAACAGATCTGCAATGTATCTGAAAAAAAAAAGATGATTTCTTGAAACCAGCACCAACAAAACTCGATAATGTTATTTTCTTGACAGTCATAGTCCATCCAGATAGAAAGCATATGAAGAAAGAATTTTTTTGGAATAGATCGGCAAGTACTTGGAAAAAAAGAGAGGAATAAAAGGCTGAGTGTCCGGATAATTTTTTACCGAGAAATGGAGAATAACGGAGAGGAGAAGTTCATGGATGAGGAGTACAACAGCCATAGTGGTCCGAAAAGAAAAGTTTTGGAACAGATCGGTAGATAATTTTTTTACTTAGAAACAGAGAATAACGGAGAGGAGGAGATCCTCAACAAGGGGTACAGTAGCCGTGGTGGTCCGGTGGTTTGAGTATGAGAGGAGAAAGCAACGATGGGAGAGAAACACTTGATGGGAGACGGGAGACACTTGATGGGAATAGGAATCTCGAGCCCACCCCATTTGTCGTTCCAACCAAGGAGCAGATAAGGGAATAGGAAAACTCTCCAATATTTCTCTAGCTGGGCACGTGATTTTGGCATGAGGAGGACGACCACATTTGAACCAATGAGAGCTTGACACATCAGCAGACGACCACTCTTTTGCCAAAACTCATTCGTGCTTTTACTATATAGGTTGATTACATTATCAATTTAAATAGTCCTAGACTTCTAGTTATGTGAAAGACGCTTGCTTCTTGCTAGTACGTTATTATTTGGCTCCTGCTACCAAAATAGAATGTTGGAGCGAAGTTTTGACTTAGATTATTTCCATTCCAATGTTTAGATTTAGGCTCTATTTAATAATCCAATTCATCACTTAAACTTAATGAATTCAAATTTTAACATGTTCGGACACGTTTAATAACCAAATATTAAACATTTAAATTAATTAAATGGCACCGAATTTCCTAAACAGAACTTACTTTTAAAAATCAGTGATAAGTTATTCACTTATCATTGAATATGATATACACTCAAATGTATTAGATTTAATACTTAATAATTTAATGGATTCAGACTTCAGATTTCAAATTTCAGTATTACGAAACGCACCCTTGGCGTAATATTGCAATTTTTGTAGCTTTTGAATACAATTACAAAGCCCTAGCGCTCAGGGGATGTACATTGAATGCTTACCTCTACAAATAAAAAATTCATAGTTTACCTGAAAAAGAATTACAGTAAATTGTTTTTCTTTCTCAAACACTAACACTGCTATACTAAGAGTATCAAAATTAGTTTATGAAGGGTTCCTTTATTTACATACGTAATGACAATGCTATCTTAACATCATTATAATCTGCAACTCCATATTCATTTTTTTTGGTGCCCATTTCGTACGAGATTCTATCTGCAATTCTTTGTTCATTATCCATGGAAAGTAGGAGAATTCATCTTATACCTTAATGATATACCGCAAGATTGTGACAGATGGTACCAATATTTCAGCCAAAGTAAGGTGATTTTCGTAATTAACTATTCGGCTCAAAAATATTTAGCTTCAATTTTGATACTTAGGGCTAGAGATTTTGCAGATTTAAGTAAATACGTTAAAATAACATTAAAAAAAATTCTTCAATATTCCACATCATTGACATAAAAGTCCTGGTTTGTTCAAATCAATATTTTCTCCCACTTTATGAGCGTTAGTTTGTAATATTATTAAAAAAAAAAAAAGGGGGTCTAAGTATTGGAAATTGTTATACTTTGAAGGCTCCAATAACAACTAATAGTATTTTAATTTAAATTATTACTTTTGTGTAAAACAAAGTCAGTTACTACTGAAATGACCACTCCTACTCCCTAACATGACCCAAAAGATTAAATAACAAATGCTTCTCAATTGGGCCTGCAACCAGAATTCCGGCCCCTCACCCCACACAGAACCCAAAAACCCATCCGGGTTTAATCAGGCCTATCCAATCCCAACCCACCCCGCTACCGGCTACCCAGCCACTTATAAAGTCAATAGAACCCCACCAAACCCTAGGGGGTTCTGTGCCTCTCACTCACACACACACACACACACACACTGCGCATCAGTCATCACTCTTCTCTGCTCTCCCCAAAAGGTACTATAGTTCTTCATCTTCAATCTTTGAATCAGATATGTTTCTTGTTATTGTTGTTGGTCTCTGGTTGGTTACCAAGAAAATATGGCGGTAAAGTTTTGAAGGAGGGAAAGGATGGGAATTAGCATTGCTTAATTGGATAAATTAGGATTTGTTCCATTTCTTTGGTAGTAACTATTTTTTTCAGAAGATAAAAAGTTTTTAATGGTTTTTTGTATGCTGGAGAAAATGTTGAAGCATGTTATAAATTAGTACAGAATTTTCTCTTCTGATCAGTTCGATTGTTTAAACATTTTTGAGCGGTAAATGCGATTTTTTTTGAGGCGTGAATGCAGTGATTAGGGTTTTTGGTATCATGTTTTGATTTGGGTATTAATTTGAAGTGAAAACTGGCATTTGGTTACTTGGCTTATTTCTAGTGATTGGATTTTTGGATAATGGCTTCACAGTGCAACTCCTGACCATTTTCATGGTTCGTTAAATATGAATTTTAGTTTGTAATAAGCATTCGCCTGGAATTCTTTGATTTTTTTTTCCTGGTTTAGCAACTCGGTGTTTATGCTGTTGATTCTTTTAACACTAATGGTGTTTTAACAAATTTTTTATTGGTCATACTAGGCTGTTTCTGATTTTTTTTGAGCTACTAGCCCCTTAAAGTATTTCCTCACATTTTAAGCTTATATAAATAATGACAAACCGTTTCTGTTTACTGTTTAGAACTTGATGGGGATGCTTTACAAAAGCAGGTCCTTTTTCTTTTAGGCCTAGTCATGAGTATTTGTTTCGGATTACTTGTTACTTTTTGAAGTAGTGGTTTATAGACTAGAGCCAAATGCACACAAAAAATCTGCTTAATATTGTTCATGCTGCCATGAATGTTTCCGGTGGAAGTAACTCTGAGTACTTTTGACTGGATTCAGCAAAATTTAAACAGCAAAGTTTGCAGAGAATGCCTACTTATTCCACGTTAGGCCTCTTTTTAACATGACATCAATATTTTGAAACAGGCCTGCCAAGATGTATACGTCAATGAAAAAAATTCACAAGGATAAGGATGTTGAACCTACAGAGTTTGAAGAGTCTGTGGCTCAGGTTACTTTATTTTTTGTCCTCACAAATTGTTGTTTGGCAGCTTTTTTTTAGTTGATTGACTAGGATGCTTGATTCTTACCTAGATTATATTCTATTTGATGTGCAGGCCTTATTTGATCTGGAAAATACTAACCAAGAGCTCAAAAGTGATTTGAAGGATCTGTACATCAATTCTGCTGTGTAAGAGTAACTTATAAAGTCACTCAATTGACCTTGTTTGGCCTTTTAACAAGTCTGATTGGATATTCTGGTGTCTTCTTTTCTGCAGTCAAATTGATGTCTCTGGAAACCGGAAGGCTGTTGTTATCCATGTGCCATACAGACTAAGAAAAGCTTTCCGCAAGATTCACATCAGGCTTGTCAGGGAGTTGGAGAAGAAATTCAGTGGCAAGGTTCCTGTATTTCTTTTTTCTCCTTCTGTTAAAGTGCTTTGCTTGCCTTCTTATTACAAAGATGGTGCTGGCTGTCTTGCCTGGGTCTTATCTATCAGTAGTTGGAGCATTTGGTTTTTGACTCTGCTAATTGCTCTTTTAAATTCTAACAATATGCATATTGCTTAAAGAAGGTGTTCTGCATAACAATTTAACCAGTGATATTGCATAGCCCTAAACCCAATAAGTCAAATTAGCCAGTGATATTGCATGTTGCTTAAAGGTGTTCTGCATAACAAATTAGCATTGTGCACACCCTGCATATGCATAGGGAATCCATTCAATGGAATGTGGCTATGATGATTAATGATAATCCCAGCTCTATGAGACCTCTCTTGGTCAGGGAATTGAACTGATTGAACATCATTCTGAGCTCATATCTATCAGCAATTGGAACATCTTGTTTTTGACTTTGTTTATTGGTATTTTAAATTTTAACAGTACGCCTGCATAAATCAAATTAGCTAGTGACATTGCATGTTGCTTAAAGAAGTTGTTCTGCATAACAAGATAGCATTGTGCACTCACTGCACATGTATGGGGAATCCATTCACTGGATTGTGGCAATGATGATTAAGAATAATCCCAGCTCTATGAGACCTCTCTTGGTCTGGGAATTGAACTGATTGAACATCATTCTGAGCTCTTGAACCAACGTCTCAGCTTGCACTTCATCTTTTTGCATACACTCCATTGAAATTTAGTGGAGGACTTGGCCTCCTGAATAATGTTCATGTCCTATTATACATTTATTTGGAGGTTATCAAAACTGCCTATGTTTGTCTTGAATTTTCTTTCTTGATTTATATGGTAACAAGATTTTGAGATTTTGTGCCATTGTCTACTGTTAATAGTTGTATGAAAGCTGCTACTTTTTTTTTGTCACTTTAGGAACTTAATAATGCTGTTCTTGGATCATCTATTACACTATTCTTGTGTTAGGTTTGTCATCTTTGATAATTTTAGGTTGTTGTAGGATGTAGTTTTGATTGCAAACTATGACTTTTAGGATGTGGTTCTGATTGCCACCCGAAGGATACTGAGGCCCCCAAAGAAAGGATCTGCTGTTCAACGACCCCGCAGCCGGACTTTAACTGCAGTACATGATGCCATGTTAGAGGATGTTGTTGTCCCTGCTGAGATTGTTGCGAAGCGCGTTAGATATCGCATTGATGGATCCAAGATAATGAAGGTGTGCTTTTAGTTATCATTGAGGTTGTCTTGTTTACTTGATAGTTCAGTGATCACATTACTTGAGGAAGGTAGGCTGGGGTTCCAAATAGGTGCCAGCCAATAGAAGCCATTTTTGTCTTACTATTATCTTTGGTTTGAGAATAGACGCATCATTTTTACTAGTTGATTGCTCGAAATCTGACGTCAAATTATAATTTGAAGTCTTTGACCATCAATTTCAGGCCTGTTTATGCTTTGCTGTTTCCTACTTGTGGGGAGAAACATGAATGTTGGTTGTTGTCTTGATGCATGAGATACTTATTTAACAGCTAAACTTTTGAGTCCATTATGATTCACTGTTTTGTGCACAGGTCTTCTTGGACCCCAAGGAAAGAAACAATACTGAATATAAGCTGGAGACTTTTGCTGCTGTTTACAGAAAGCTTTCAGGCAAAGATGTTGTGTTCGAGTACCCATTGACAGAGCCTTAAAAGTAGTGGCAGATGATTTGTTGTAGATCTTTGTGATCCACGAGGCCCAATTCGTTTTGATCAATCATTTGAAATTTTGACTCCATATTTTGTGGTTAAATAGGCAGCGAACTTTATGCTTGCTATCAAGTTTTTCTTTTTGATTATGTAGTTTCTACTGTGAGGATTTTGAATATTTAAAGAAGTTCGTTAACTTGCAAAGGATTTCATCAGGCTTCTATGGTTTGCTGAATACAATGTGATAAAATTGTGTGGCGAGTCTGCATCTGCATGGTGAAGCTGAAATGTGCTAGTGTCCTCACATTGGCATTGAAGAGAGACGAAAAATCCACCTTGTATGAGAACAATTTAGCAGGAAACCGTGTCTCTGGCAAATATGAGGTCCGCAGATTAAAAGGAAACACAGAAACCTTTTCTCAACTTGGAAAAATATTGGAGGAACGGCTCGGTGCATTCAAGAGTTTTGCTGCCTCTGGATATAATTGTGCACCTTTTGATTTGACGGCAAACCGTACCTTTTGATTTGGATGTTTTGGCAAGATATCTATATAATTATATTTATTTGTTCTATTTAATTGTATTGTATTGGTTTCGATCGGTCTAAAATAATTGTTTTGCTCTTGTATCTTATTGTTCTAATTACTAGACTCTTTTTTCTTTTTTTTTTTATTTATAAATTTCAATCTGAACTCGGCATTTAATAGAAGAAAAGAATAAAATCAATGAGGGAAAATGATATAGGCTATGTTTTAATAAATTCGAAGAAGTAATTGATTGAATCATCAATAGTGGTTTCACAAGCACTTCCTTCTAGGATTTGACCATATAAACCCATGCACTTTGGAGTTTTGAAGAACAAGATCGAAGTAGTCATTCCACCCACATTGCAAAAATATTTTGATTTACAAAAATATTTTGATTCAAATGTTATTGAAAATGAAGGCGATTTGTTGTTCAAATAAAATATTATAGTAATACATGTTTAAAACAATCCAAATGCATTGCTATCAAAAATATAAAAAAAAATTTCAAAAGTTAAAAAAATGTTATCATCTCTTTCTTTCGCCTTTAACCACACAAACCAATGCTACTTGTTGCAAACAACATCTCTCCCTTTTTCTCTTTTCTCCCTTCCATCCTTTCTCTCCCTCATCCTCATCATCCTTTTTCCTCTTCTTCCTTCCTTTTCTCTCTCTTCCCTTCCTTCTCTATGCATTCATCCTCTCCTTTTCTCCAGAAGGAGAGAGGTGGGGAGAGAAAGCAAGAGAGAGACAAAAAATACCAAAAAAATTTTGAAAAAAATGAGGGAAAGCAAGAGGGAGGAGACCAAAAATACAAAAAAAAAAAAAAAAAACTCTACCACTTCTTTCTTCCTTCACCCACCACACACGGTTGTCGCCACCTCCTATTCCTAGCATCCTCATCTCCCTTCCTCTTTTCCCCTCTATCCTCCTCCTCTTCCTCAACCTCCCCTCTTTCCTCATGCACTCGTCCTATCCTCCCAGTGAGAGGAAAGAAAGAGGAAGGATAATAGAGAAAACCAGAGCAGGAGTAAAGAAAGAATGGATGAGAGGTGCGGTGACCAATATAGCTGGTAAACGGGTGGAAGTTGGTTGTGATAGAGAAGTTTTAAAAAATTTTAAAAATATCTCAACAAAATTTAAAATTTATGAATACACTCAAAATACATCATATACTATAAAGTTTTTAATAAACAAAGTTATAGTAAAGTTTTTGAAAAATGCCTAATTTATATGGAAATTGAGTTATTTCCAAATTAGTTGATTTTCCAACCAATCAAAATTAAATTCATACACAATATTGCATTTGTTTACTCTTTTAAGTACAAAACCAGAAATTTTAAGTAATTTGTCTATTCTTAATGTCATTTATAGTGCTGCTTAAGGTTTTTCTTTTTCGGTTGAGGCTCTAAATTGTAAAATACTATACTTCATATCTTTAAATAGAAGAAAATCAATATGAAAAGAAAAACATTCTCAAGGTCTATCTCTACCTTGATTACCAGAGTATTTCTCATTCTGGTGACCTTGAAATATGATAATAAAGGCCTATTTGATCCTAATCCTTGTCATCCTTTTGAGTATTTGAAATTTGAAATAAATAAATTGTTTCCTTTTCATTGATAGATTGTACTGGGTTTATCTGTTCAAAACCTTGAAATCATCAGGAATTAAGTCCTGCAATTGTTTCTCACGTAGTATTTGACCATGATTGTTGTCTTTTTTCCCCTTCTAGGGATAGATAAGAAAGGCATCCAGTGGATCCTTTCTAAAATGAGCTCATAATGAAGGCTTTTGTTTGGGGACAGAAATATGTTCAAATGTATTCTGATCCATTTTGCACAAAAAATGTCTTGATTCATTTTGTATCATCAAAAATGTTTTCATCCATTTTGCACCGTTAAAAATGTTTTGTACAAATTGAATGATGAAATATTCATAACTAAGTGGCGACGATAAAAGAAGAGGAGGAGGAGAGAGGGCAAATGAGAGGGAGGGGGAGAAAGGGAAAAAAAAGGAGGGGAGGATGAGGGGGTGGCAGCGGCGGTGATGATGGTGGGTTGAGATGGTGGTGGTAAAAGAGGAAAAATAAGTGTATATTTTTTGGGTGTTTTGAAATGTGTATTTTGAAAACTTTCATGGTGTTTAAGTTGTTGGAAAACTTGTATAATAAAAAAAGTTCAAAAAACTAGGATGTCCAACTCCATTATAATTTTCAAAAGTTTTTTATCTCACATAAATCGAATCATAAAAAATTTCGCAATAATTATTTCAAATAATATTTCATATAATTTCTCATCCAAATGGTTTTTACAATATGTTGATTTGGATACAAATTGATTGCATGGTCCGTGAGAAAAAGGAGAGACGAGGGTTCGAATAGTTTTAGAGTTGGTTAATTATATTTACCTCCCTTAAGGTTTAGCCATATTACGAATTAGACCTTGACATTTGGCCAAATAACGGGACAACCCTTGAAACTCGAAATATCATAACAAAAGATCCCATTCCGTGAGTCAAGATACGTTGACTGCTTGTTTCCTTGACCCATGTCAACGAAAATAAGCATTTAAATTCCCAAAATATTCATCAACTCACCTTGGAACCTTCTTCAAAACGACCCACGGTTATGCAGCAGCGCCAGCAGCTTTATTGTGGCTGCCATGCACAACCCAATCCAAATTTGGGAATGGCAATGGGGCGGGGTTGGGATGGGGACCGCCCCGCCTGCTGTCCACTTATTCCCCCATCCCCGCCCCGCCTCTCGCCTCTCGCCTCTTGCTCCTCTATTCCACTCTACTTCTCGTACGGAATTAATAAAAATCTGTTATATAATTTCATTATAGTTAAATTTTAGCAAATAATCAAGTACTAATATATTAACACATTATCAAGTTATTATTCATTATAATTTCACAATTAAAACTCATAAAAATAATTAAATAAAAATTATTTGAATTCAATCCAACATGATGAAACAAATACAACTAAAGTAGTTAAATTGTTCACTTTTGACACAAATACAATCATTAAGTCATTATTGTGATTTTTTTGAGAAAAAAATGTTATTGTGTTAAGTATAATTAGAAATTTAGTATAAATGTATTAGTAAATTTAGTATAACTAATTAATAATTTCAATTAGTAGATATGTATAATTATTAGTATAATTGATAATATCAATTATATTACATATACTAATTACATTATATAATACATATAACTAATAATATCATTATCACAAGTTTGTAACTAATTAAATTAAATATTATATATATTTATTAATTTTTCTTAACGGGTGGCAGGGCGGGTAAGGATGGCAACGGGGCGGGGTCCCCCGCCCCGTTCCCCGTCCCCTGCTCCCCCCGCCCCCTCCCTGTCCCGCCCCGCCCCACTTCCCTCGCGGGTGCCCCCGTGGGACTAATAAAAAAAATGTTATATAATTTTATTATAGTTAAATTTTAGCAAATAATCAAGTATTAAAATATCAACACATCATCAAATTATTATTCATTACAATTTTACAATTGAAACTTTTAAAAACAATCAAACAAAAGTTATTTGAATACAATCCAACATGACGAAATAAATACAATTAAAGTATTCAAGTTTTTATTTTTGACACAAATACAATCATTAATTCATTATTGTACTTGTGCTATTTTTTTGAGAAAAAAATGTTATTATATTAAGTGTAATTAGGGATTTAGTATAAATATATTAGTAAATTTAGTATAACTAATTAATGATTGGTATTAGTACACATATATAATTATTAGTATAATTGATAATATCAATTATATTACATATATTAATATACATTATATAATACATATAACTAATAATATCATTATTATAAGTTTGTAACTAATTTAATTATATATTATATATATATATACATATATATTTTATATATTTATTTTTTAAAACGGGTGGCGGGAGAAAAAAAATCCCCCCCGCCCCATTAGTTCCCCACGGGACGGGTGGCCGCGTTGCCATCCTTAGGGGCGGGGGTATACTCTCCTGCCCCCCACCCCATTTTTAAATGGGAGGAAAAAATTCTCTTCCGTTTCGCCCCATTAGCCCACGTGGGCATTCGCCCCCAATTGCCATTCCTATCCATATTCTTCCTTTTCATATTCAACCCTAATTAAAATTTTGAAATATTTGTTAGGTAGACAAAGTTTTATGGTGTGTTGGAAAAATTGTTATATTTTCTATGGACACAATTTTCAATCCCCTTTTTACCATATATCAAATCGCTACAATAATTTTTCTATAAAAAATTCAGAAAAATGCAATCCAAACAAAGCCTTAGAAACACAATCACGGGGATTCTCAAAATATTGCTTTACAACTATCAGCAAATTCCCAATCAAATACTTTCAACACTAAAATCCAACAAAAATCCCCAAACAGAAAATAAATAACAACAATAAATTTATTAACCCATACAACAGACTAGATCTTGATATTTGCATTGCTAAAACTAAATTGTGAGGATCGAAGTGATTAACCAAGTCATGGGATGTCAAAACCTTGGATCTCAAACCAAAGTGCCAATACATGCCCTTCTGTCCATGGATTTGGAAATTAGGTATGGATATGTTTTCTTCTTGTCTCATGAGATAGTGTGACTCGCGGAGAAGAGAAGGCAGCGATGGAGGGTGGAGAAAAGAGGAAAGAAGTCATAGTGCATCCACTGCAGAAGTTAGCCAAATGGGTTATAGGAAGATGAAACTGTACGAGGGATAAGAAGAGACATGAAAAAGAATGAAAGGAGAGGGCATACGATGGTGACTGTGAAGTATGAATATGGATGGATTGGGTTTAACATTTTCCAAGGGATGTCAGTTTTGACATTTCGTTCTTTCCGTCTATAGAGTTTGGAAGGTGTCACTGATAGGGGGGTTAGAGTTATTTGTCCAAATCTCAAGGTTTGATTTGTAGTTTGGCTAAACTATAAGGAAGATAAATGTAATTAACCCTTTAGGGTATATAAATGAAGAAAGAAAAAAGGATTTGAAGCCTTTTAAACCAAAAACTTCAA